CATGACCATCATCATGGCTAAGGAGACAGAAGGGGAAAGACAACAGACAGACAACGTTACACGAGAGCTAGACGTTCTCTGACCTGATTGTCACACTAAATATGTCACAACTACACTCCATGGCTGTCCCCTGAAATGTTGATGCTGACACTAGGCTTCAGACTGCATCCTTTATTGCACTGTCACCTGTTTCTTACAGCATCAGAGTCACTTAGCCAGCTTTGCTGTTGCTTCTGTCTTGACTTTTAACATGAGTATCCAGGCCCCTCCCTAGACCCACTAAATTCAAATTTCCTTTTTATTAGCCTATATTAATTGTGTACGATAATGGGTTTTTTGGAGTATTTCCATGCACATAATGTATTTTTATTATATTTACCCTCTTACCTCCTCCTGTTCCCTTCATGCTGATCTCTCCTTCCCACCTAGTCCCACCTCAACTTTTACGTCTTTTTTAAAAATCACTTAATAATTTTAATCAGGGTTGCCTACAGGGTCCTGGGTAAGAGATTGAAATTCAATTTTTGAGAGTGCAGACCCAAGCTAGTTAATAAGTCCATCATTGGCTAACCAGGAGACATGAATGAAAGAAAGAAAGGAAAGACAGTGGGTTCATTTGTCACAGCTGGAAGAGAAAAGCTAGATGACCAGTCTGGAGGGCAGCGTTGTCCTGAAGCCTAGACTCCACTGAACTAGCAGGCACTGCTCAAGTGCCCACTGCCTACTCCCATTTTTGTTAATTTTAGAATCAAATGAGATTTTAGAATGCATTTGGTTCATTGCTAATCGAGGAAGTTTACTTTAAAAAGAATAAATATCCAAAAATGACATTATTCAGAAAGTACAAGTGGAAAGCATCAACCACAGATGGATCAGAACTCAGCTTGCTAAAAACCCGTCTAAAGAGCTGGGCGAGGACGTCTTACTGTACACAGGTCAGCAAGGCTGTCACTGGACTCAAAAGACTTTTGCTGTCAAAAAGATTTGTAGCAAAAAAAGAGAAAAGAACGAAGTTATTAGAATTATTTTCTGGGTTTTTTTTGAGACAGGGGGCTACCCCAGGCTAGCCCTAAACTTGGGCTTCTCTTGTTGCACTAGCCTCCAGGTTAAGGAGCTACAGGTGCTTGCCACCATTCCTGCCTCTGCTTTATTCTCCCATATTTCTACTTTCACTTCCCCAATTTAAAATTCTAAAATGCCAGTTGGAAATCTTGAGGTGGGATATGGAATGTCTCAAAAGTCACTGAAGACTCTAGACACACCTCTCATGCATTTCCCCTACTCAAAGTCCACACTTGAAGACAAATCCATAGACATTTATTTTCAAGTCACTGCTGCACAAGAGGCATGAATAACCAACTCTGGAGTTAAGTATGTCTCATTTCTACCATTGTTCTTCATTTGTAACCACCAAATAGAGAAGATGTTCAAATATACAGCCTTCAAACTGCATATCCTTTGCCAGAAAATCATCAGCATGACTTCATTCTACTTTATTATCCATTAGTAAATAAACTTTGACCTTGCCACTATTACATAAAATCACAGACAAGGCCAAGATGGTAATTCAATACCTTCTCTCACCTTTCACACCATTATGAACATAAACCACAGTACTCATTTTACAGAATCATCCACACAACATTAATGGTGCTTCCATTCTCCATCTCGAGACAGAGGACAGAGGCAAGCCTCAAATAGACGACGCCCTCCCAGAAGCACGCTCTTCATCTATCAGGATTTTGGCAAACACCTTGGGAATTTCTCTGTCTACAGCCTCCACTGTCACTCAAAAATATAAAGCACTTTTTAAAGCTGTGGGTATTCCTCTATGCACAGAAAGGTAACATTAATGTTTACATCTCCAAGCAGGACAGACCCACTTAAAACCTAAGACTCTGAGGCAAAGTAGGACACAAGTTATCTTCCCCAAACAGTTCTTCTGCCATGAAAGAGGCCATCCTGCACACACAGACCTGGAAGGGGTATTGCTGCCCTGCTATTTATTCCTGGGCACAACAGCAAGGACACCAGAAGAGCATGTGTGTACAGTAAGTCCACACAATTACCCAGTGGATAGAGAATCCATCAGACAGCATCAGAAAACCTCAGCTGCCTTATAACCTAGAGGTGAAGCTTTTAAGATTCAGTGATGTAATAAGAAGCATTTGTTTTTATTGCATAGCAAACATATGAAGTTTAACAGAATCTCTTTCTCTCTCTCTCTCTCTCTCTCTCTCTCA